GACTACGGGACAGCAGGGGGTTGAGACCAAGCCAAGAGAACGCGATTCAGGTGTAGCAAAATCTAGTACTGACAAGGGTGAAAGATCCCCAAATCGCATGACCGAAACACAAAGATCGACCGAGTGTAAAATATCAGACGAAAATCCCCATTGCGCGTAACCAGGCAAGGTCAATGCGAAAAGAGTACCCTTGAGAAGGGGAAAGCAAAAGAAGATTGGTGTTCTGCCCTTGGCCTGATTTCAGGAGCACTTGCTCTAGGTCTAGTGCGAATGCTGTAAGGCAGCGCACCAAATCAATGCCATAATATGAATCCCGTGAAGTACCGGCGCGATGCATGAAACTATTAGAGGGATTCCAACTCCTGAGAATCTGGAACGAGGCAATCAAGCCATCAAAACCGTTCCCCAAGAACTGGATACCAACATGGCCGGGAACCGTGGGGCCCATGGTCAGTCTAGGCCAAACTTGTTCAGTGCGCCGAACAGTAGGCCCCGTTAACCTCGCGCCGCCACCCGGCTTGATGGCGGGCGGGAGGCTGTGGAGAAAGCGTCATGTGCATTAAAAACATGAGACGACTCGAAGAAGACTCGTACTTCCCATTCAGCATTAAAGAGAGAAGATAAAAAAGAAGGGAAATTGAGACGCTAAAGCGATCGATAGAGATGGGTTGGTTCCCGCAGGCGAAGACCCCTCCATTGCCCTCCTGACATGTCCGTGGATCATTGAGAAATGAGGAGGTACTAGGAGGTGCTTTTACTATTATTTCGGTAGCCTAAAATAGTGGTATTAAGCTAAAGCTGATCAATTGATCCCAACAATAAAGCCCAGTAAGGTGTTGTTGTTGGTAGTGAGAAGAAGCATGGCTTAAACTCGGTCTAAGCCGGCTGGGCTATTCCGGGACCACATAATTTGCTGAGGTTGTCGTTTGCTCCTGCTCGAGGCTATTTCCATCTCGTCCCCCTTTTCGTCCCTCAACTTGGCCCTTTTCAATGGGCTGCAAGGAACAAAGGACAGCATTTCAAGTCGGCCGGCTTCTCACATCACTGGTCCGTCGCTGCCCACAAGGTGGCCCACCAACGCTAGTCTAGGTTAAATTTCAAAACGCCTCTCACCCGGGTTGAGATGGATAACTGCAGGAGCCACTGACCACGCCATGCGCTGCAAAGGAGGGGCCGGGTCACTGAAGGGCAAGGAGTCCTATCGCACTTGCCCCATAGGCTCGAGTGAATTTGGGAAACAGCGCCCAGGGCTTACTTCCAAGTGGGAGCTGCGAGCTGTGACACACAGAGCACCGCTTGAGCCGGCTTCTCTTTCCCTCGAGGAAAGCACGGGAACCGGATGGGGAAGACTGAGAGGGCCAATTTAGGCAAGACCACTTCACACTCCTGGCTAATTTTGGAGATATTCATGAGCCAACCACAAATCTGGCCAAGCCGGGACACGCTCATCTCAAAGGGCCAAGTACGTACCTCGGTACTCGCCAACGCTCAGACCTTTCCTTTCCTTCTTCTTCTTCTTGCGTCTCGGCTCCTTCTTCCCTCACTTCTCACTTGGGCTTGGTGATTTTGGGGAGCAAGCGCTGATAATACAGGACAGGGACGCCAAGTTGAGCAACCTGCTCCGACGTGGACTAGGTAATAGTGTGATATTAGATCCGGATATGGTGGGCACGAGCAAGAGCTTGTGGAAAGGGCCAGGGTGTATGGTCCCGGCTCGTCCACCCATGCTGGTGTCAACTAGAAGACGCCATCCACGCAGTGTTCGTCTCGCCTCTGACAGGATAGCCCTGCCTGTGCGGTTTTCCCGCCCAGATGGCAATCGCAGGGTCCCGGAATGAGAGCCGGAATAGAGGAAGGCGGTCTTCAGAGGCAGAACCAATTTCTTTACCCCATCTGCGAGATTGATTGTCCCATCAAAACTTGGTATGGACGGCGCCTGCCCTTCGTCTTGCGGGAAGGGAAATGTGTTCTTTCATGCTGAGCGCAACAAAATGATCGTTTGCTCTTCCCTTATGCTATCAATTTTTTGGGGAGGGGAGGGCAATAATACCAACCCACTATAGTTTCTTCTGTCCTGTAAGAGGTTCCTGCTTTTGCTCTGCCTCAACCATCCTTCCTCACCTCTCCTGTTCGACGACTGTGCATCAATTGCGCGCCTCCCCGAATTTTGACTCGGCCCTTGGTAGCCCCCTGCCTCGTCTCCTCCCACCCTACTTGTAAAAGAGAGAGAAAAAGGACAAAAAAGTCTCGTGTCGTCCATCAGACTTCGAAAGTCCCTTTGACCGTGCATGCCCTGTCGTGAGTGGGCCCTCCTCGCTTGACCCAAGACCCGAACGACAATAGCTCAAACAGCGTCGCTTCCTCTAGCATCCACATCCTCGCTCATCAGCACCGGCGCTCTCTGACAAAGCCTCCACCCCACTGCGACATCGCCCTACCTCACGGTCGCGGAACCCGTGGCCTGTCTGAATACCAAGGATATCCTGGGTACGCCGACGCTCATTACCGTTGCCTGTGGCCGTGGAACTGGAAGCGACCGTCTTTCTGGCGCTCCCTTGCCGGATCTCGAAGGAACCCTCCTGCTCGCAGTTCGGGATATCGTACCAAATTCCCGCAACGTCATTATTTTCGCGCCCTTCACCCTCGCTCTTGCTCCCACGCTCTGTCATCTCCTCGAACGCTATAGCTTCCAAAAGGGAGGGTGCAGAACACGGACTAATCCCTTTTTGGTGTATCTGGGCCAAGGTCTCCCACTTCCCTAAACGGTTGGTGAAGAGGCACTGGTGAGAGTTTGGGAATCGCACATGCACATCCACCCTCACATCCACGGTCTCTTCGATCTCCTTCCCCCACCCATGGTCACCCACTCGGCATTCGCTTTGTGGTAATCATCTCGTCAACCACAATATTGATCTCTTGATCTCTTGCGCGCACCGGTCATCCCGATGTGGATCTCCTGCAATCTAGCATTGTGAGGACTTGGAAGTGAAGGCCCTGCCCAATATTGCCCACCAAACTTGCCACCGACAGACAGAACGGGATTTGTTTTCTTTGGCACCCTACAGTCTCTTCTGGTTTTGTTTTTTGGTTCTTTTTTCTTTTTCTTTTTCATTTGCACCTTGATCATCATTTTAGAGTGGCCCGTGCCTTTCCTTTCCTCGTTCAACTCCCCAGATACATTCTCACCCAGTGCCCCATACCTGTGGCTCAGAGAAGATCTCGATCTAACGGCGAGCTTGGCCCCAAGCCGAACCCCGAATCACGCCTCCTGATCAGGTCCTTCCCGGAACACATCTCTCTTTACGAGATCAACGCCCCGCCTCCCTCTGTATGACCCTTGTCCGACGACTCTTCAAATTGGGCATTCCCGAGCTCGAGAACAGCCAGATCAGAGAACTCGGCTTGCTACGCTGACCCTGCCTCGTGTTGATAATCTCAAAGTTCCACATACCCTTGGAAGGAGAGCTTTCAGTGTTAAGCTTCTGGACGTCAACCGGCTTGGCTACCCTCGTGAGAAAAGAAAAATAAAGCTAGAAAGAAAAAAAGGTAATGTCATAACACTCCCATTCATTCATGGTCCTGTAACCCCTTGTCGACATGCACTAGCCACCCCTCCCCTCTTCGGAAAGCACCCCTCTACTCGGCTCAGTCTCCGAAAACACCTGGAGGGCGGTGATGACGGACCTCTTGCCTTTGGGGTGGACCGAGACCTTTGCATCCAGAAGTGCTTGTCTGCTTCTTCTACCGTCTCTCCGTCACTCCGTCACTCCGGGAGAGCTTTGTTCCCACACGCCCCTCCTTTCCCAATGGATCCTAGTCGCGCGAATTGGGCGGCTTTCACACGCCCCTCTTCGTCTCCGCCCTGGTTCCTTTTCTACCCTGGCCCTGACCCCATCTGCTAGCGCGGACTGATGGCCCTGGGCTACCCTCAATCGCTCCTCCTTAAACCATCCGCGTACACCGCCCACACCACTTCTATCGTTCGCTGAAACAGTGGATGTCGTTGCCCCGAGTCTACCGAAATGGCGTCTCATTTTGCACGCCCATGCAGCCGCCAAACTACCTTATTTCGCCTCCCTAGCCTCTAGTCCTGTCATTTTTGGTGGCCTTGTTCTTCTTGTGCTTCTTTCTGCTGGCCTGGCCCCTCATCTCCCCCTCACTCCCTCGCCCCGACCCCCAAAAGCCGATCCTGCTAATAGCATCAACCCATCCCCAACAGCTCCACATCCCACCCGAGAGCCCCATTCTTGCCACTTGATCATTATAGATCACGGTTCGTGTACCGTAGATGGTTAACATTGCTCCCCACCTGCTAGTCTCATATTATCCTCCCATCGAACTGGGTGAGCTAAGGGAACCGCCGTCCACGGGACTACCTTCCCATACGAAGTACACATCCCTCGCCGTCTTCGATTTCTTCTTCAACCCTGCGTGCCACGGCAGCAACTGCTACAACTTCTGTACCTTACCACGGCCCTTCACACCCGGCAGGGAGTATGTACCTTTCGGAACCGTCCCCATCTTTCCTTCACCCAGACACCCTCCCGCTCTCCCCCAGAAAGTGACCCGCCCACCCCTCCGGGGTGGCGTCAAGGACCTTCCATTACAAAACCATCACGTCTCCTCCCTCACTCGATTCTCTTGAGATCTTGAAATATCATTCTTCTGTCTTTATACCTAGGAGGTTAGAGATCAACACCCAGTGGGCTTAACCGTTCTTCTTCTTCATCCTTACCCTCGCCCTCATCCCGTCCTCCTCTTTCATATATATATATATACCCAGGGAACCCACAACATCATCCAACGTCGATATATCCCTTTGACACCTCTTGCGTCTATTCCTTCTTGATCCCACGCACACACTCATCACCTTAGGTATGAGCGCATCAGTTTTTGTACCAATGAACGTTCCTCCGATGGGCGGCCCTCCGATGGCGGGTGTTTATCCCGTAGCGATTCCAAGGGCCCAGGTTGGCATCGAAAGGCTTCCATCTCGCCGTATGAGCAACGAACCCCGAGAGTCGATGAACTGCAAGTCATGCCGAAAGCGAAAGGTATGTGACTGCAACTAGCGGGAGCCTTGTTTGTCTCTGAGAGCATAGACTAACACAAAGCCCCTCCCCAAAGATCAAGTGCAATAGGTTGCGACCCTCTTGCGAGGCCTGCCAGGTTTTCCAGTGCCCTTGCATATATGGTAAGTTTCATGCGCAGCGCATAAAAAGAGCTTTTACAAGCGAAGCCTCGGAACCTAACAAAGCCTTGTTGCATATTAGATGCCGTGCCTAAAAAGCGTGGCCCCAAGACCGACGTTCTCGAGGCACTTTTGAAGCGAGTTGACGGCCTAGAGGCAAAGCTGAGGGAAAAGAATGCCTCGGCCTCACCCACCACCCCCACCACACCAGGCGCCCGGGACGATTCCCTCCCGTCGGCCCTCAGGGTGACTCGGATTCCGAACGACAGATTAAGAGGCTCGCTATCGACACAAATAGAGGGGCAGATGGCAACGAGACTGCTTTGTTTTCGCCCATTCCCGCTAGGTACGCCACATAGAGTTATAAATTGTTGCGATTGGACGGTGGCCTAACTTGAAACCTGCAGGGAACCCTCACCAACGATACAGACCGAGGCTCTTTTCGACACCTACTTTACCCGATTCCACGCCAAGCCCTATTACATCCTCGATGAATCCTCGGTACGGCAACGCATGCAACTAAACCAACTTCCCAGCTACCTCGTCCACGCCGTTTATGCTGTGGCAGCCAGGTTCGTGCAATTTTCGCATTAATGTTGACCGCCTAATACTAATTGATTGCTTCTAGGTTTACCTTGCATCCTAGCGGGTATCGCTCTGCAGTCAAGCTTAGCGAAGAGTATGCCTCGCTGGCGAGGAGGAGCTTGACATTGACGAACCCTCGGTCGATGCCTTGCAGGCGCTCATCCTCCTTGTCCTTGCTTTCACAGCTGCTGGGAAGGGCAAGAAGGCCTACATGCTCATGAGTAAGAAGCAACCCCGCAATCCTACCCTTGTTCTATGGTGCAACGAAGACTAATTCTATGGTAGCCAATGCTGTCGGGATGGCCATGGCGTTGGAGATTCACAGGGAGATTGACCCTCACGCCAGGGTAACTCCTGTCGAGAGGGATGTCCGGCGGCGGCTATTTTGGACTTGTTACCTTTTGGATCGCTTCCTAGCTTGTGGCTCGAAGCGCCCTTCCTTATTTCCGACAAGGCGATCCTCCTCCGACTACCATGCTGGTCTCCCAGCCAGTCGTCTCTCCCCATCGAGGGCGAGTTCTTCAACTCGGGCTCTAACCTCCAGTATCTCCAAGGTAGCGGAAAGAAGTTTCAGGGAAGCACTGGCATGCTCATCGACATCTCCCGCATTCTCGACATCACCAACAGGTACCTGGCGGCGGGAGGTGTCAAGGAGACTCGCATTTCCCGTGGCACTCGCTTTCCAACCTATCCAAGATCCGACAGGATCTCGACACCTGGGCGTCCGGAACAGTAGATCTCTTCTCTAACCCCGCCGCTTTGTTTGGGCAAGCGGACTCCACCGTCCTCGTCCTAAGCAAGCTAATCTACCACGTCATCCACTGCCTTATCTACCGCCCATTCCTGCCCATCGACCTTTCCGAGCTTGCGGGCACTGGTCAGCATCAGTCGTGGCAGATTGAAGCAACCAATCTTTGCTTCCTGCACGCAAACGCCATTGCCGAGCTCATTGACATTGGGAAGCAGGCGGGGACGGTTGAATGGCCAGAGTTTGTGGGCTACTGTATCTGCACCGCTGGCACGGTTCATATACACGGAGCTCATTACCATAAGAACGGGGTTGGCTCGGGAAGCGAGGTGTTTGGGTCGTCTGCCGAGTTCCTCTCTCGTGAGATGCAGCAGCTTAGCGAGCTGAGATACGCCTGGGCCAGTGTCCAGCACCAACGGGAGATCTTGCAGGGCATTTACAATGCGCATTCAGAGCTGGTGAAGTCGGTGGCGAACAATGCGATGGGCTACTCGCCTGCTTTCCACTTGGAGGACTTCTTTGACCGCTACTCCAACATTGGCGGGCCTGATGGACAGTCCTTCAACTTTGACGCTGCCAACCTTAGCCTTTCCGACGTCATGGTTGACTTCACCGCGGACGCCTACACGGGCCATGACCTGTACGCGCCCCGCGGTGAGAGCAACGAGTCCGCACAAGGGCGCCCCATGCTGAAGAGGAAGAGCACGGGTGCCTCGGATCGGCAGCGACCCAGCTTGGCCTCTCTATCATTCGCACCGGGGCAGATGGGCGGCCACAATGGGCCCCTTAGCGCTGCGAGCATGCCCACGCCTCACCAGCACAGCTTCGCCAACATGCCTCCTCCGCCTTCGCCCATGATTGCGACTCCAAACTCGCTCCCCGCTCACTCGGACATGTCAGACCACTCCCCACATATGAACAGGGTCGAGCACATGAACGAGGTGGCGGCCAACCACGCGGCGATGGCGGCAGCTGAGGCGGCGGGATTTGGATTGACGGCCAACCAGGGTGCCCCCATCTCACCGATTACCAGTAACGCTCACTTTACTCCCCGTACACTTCATACACCCCGGGCCAGGGAGCAGGCAGCAATCACGGCGAGCGAATGAATGGTGGCTACGAAAACGTTTTCGAGCCTATGTCCCCCAACGGGTTTGCCAACCATGGCGGCTGGCACGGCGAGGAAGGAGGCAACAAGCAAGATGGCGGCAACGTGGCAATGGCCAACTCGGATGCCAGGAGCACCAGTGGAAGCACGGCGCAGGGGGATGAGAAGGATCCTTTCCTCTCCCTTCTTGAGCAGCTTGCGGAGAACGAACAGAGACAGGGAGGAGGTGAGGCCCATAACGGCGGAGAACTTGATTTCTTCATGAGCAATGGCAACAACGGGCGCGTGCATTAGGGAAAATATGGTTATCATCATCATGCTTGTTTATGGGTTAACACGTCGTTACCATTGTATTACTAGCATAACTGGGGACTGGATCTGTACAACGAATTTACGCGATTATGAAGAGAAAAAAACGGCATGAATATTCTACAAACGTTTGATTCTACGTTTCCCTGCCTCACTCAATTCTTGTGTGCGTGTGTGTGTGTGTGTGTTTTTTTTTTCTTAAGTCCTACCGTGTACGAGGTGGCTGTTGAAGCATTTACAAGTGGATCAAAGCTCACGAAGGATAATCGACTGACATGTGAGAGGACGCTGCTCCTACTAAAGTAGATCGCTCGGATGTTCAAACTTCTTGCGCCGCTTGTTGTCGGTGTCTTGCTCCACGTCCTTCTAGTGTTCTGCCAAGCGCTCCTTTGGATGAGGAGTACGACTACGAGTCCCCACCGCTAGCCGCCCACCAACTGAGAGGGCGGTTAAGGAAGGAAGCTGGACGCCGACGTCGCCCACGGACAACAATCCCCGTCCGGGCACGTCTTGCGAGGGTGTGTGGAGATTTGAAGCCAGGGTGGGGAGAGGAAGGAAGGCCAGGGAAATGTTTGAAAGGAATGGAGGGCAAGGAGGCGATGTGATCGTGAATGTTGGAAATTGGGGCCCGATTCCTATCTTGATGTGATGTGCTTTTGATTATTACCGGGCACCCTTGTGGGACTCATAGGGGGAGGAGGGGACCCGCTCGGCAAGGGATGGGATGGAGGAGGGAGGGGGAGGGCGAAGGATGAAGGGGAGGCGGACAGATCTCGATTTCCCTTGGCTTGGCTTGAACTTGGATCCATCCACTCGCACGGTGATGGTTCGTTGCCCTTGTCCTTGGGAAGAGACGAGCCTGGGGTAATGATCTAGTGAAGAGCGGGGAAGGGCTTGTGTGGTGGATGGCTGGCGGGAAGGGAGGGAGATGAAGGTACGGAGTACGTTGTGTACTTTGGAGATGCCCAAGGACGGCCGGGACGATGAAAATGAGTGTTATTTTTCTTGTTTAAACTTAGTGTATGAGCTTCTCTTCTTCTCAAGGTTAGCGTCCGGTACTTCTTCTTTTGATGGCGAGGACAAGGGCAAGGACCAAAATGAAGAAGAAGAAGAAGAAGGAAAAAGGGCCTGCCTCGAGAAACCTGGACTCTGACAGCAAAGGTTACATCGTTGGGATACTTGGAAGACGAAGAAACCGCACGCCTCTCCAGAAAGGTGGGGAGAGAGCGAGGCATATGGGAAGGGGGACGCGACAAGGACGGGGGAGGGGGTGTCCTACGAGATGAGCGTGAGGACTCAAGGCAAAAAGGGTGTGAGAAAGGCGGAGGGGGTGGAGAGGGCAACGAATAGGAAGAGAAGGCTACGGGACGGCGGCCCGATGGAGGAAATGCCGTGAGCAGCGGGAGTGGGAGGTGAAGAGGACTTTGTTGGAGGAGAGGAACGACATCAACGGTTGGTGGTTGTGGGGCTCAACTAGCTGGGATCTGGGATGGTTCTTGAGGGAGAGGGGGTGAGCCGGGGGAAGGGATTGGACAGACATCTGGTCTTCATGGGTTATTACCAGGGGGTTTAACGTGTGGGGAATGGGCCTTGTCACCACGTTTGTGGATTGATTTTCCTTTGCTTTTGCCTTTTTTTTGAAGAAGAAGAAGGGATGGGGGAAGAGAAGAGGCTACGACGGAAGGGGGAAAGGTGAGGAAAGGGGGAGATGAGGGGATTCGGAAAGATGAGGTTGCGAGGAAGGGAAATCCGGGGTGGGCTAAGATGAGAGAGAGTACATGCAGTATCGCCGGGAATAGGTGGTGATGGGTGCTGAATGGGGCGGGCCTTGCAGTTTTTGACAAGTAACTACCATCAATGACACTACGCTCACACAACTATTCAGTACGAGGGGGCATGGGCTTGAACATGGGTGCGTTTGCCCCAGTAGGACCGACCGAGCTAATAGATGATCAGCGAAGAACGGGCGATGGGGGTGTGTTATGTTGTGAGGTGTGGTGAGGTGTGGAGTGAATTTCTTTTAGAGCGTTTCAAGAAGCCGGAGTTGGATGGCCTGGACGGCTAGCGTAGTCGAGTTTTGATTCTTCAAGCTGGGGAGGGAGCTTATTTCCTTGCTGGCGGATCCCCTCCCTTCCCCCTTGGCCGCCCTGAATCGTAGACATCGACAAGAGATGAGATGATTTTTCTTCTTTTTGGCCAGGGGGGCCCTCTATCTGCTTGTTTCTGTTTTTGTTTTTTCTGCCTGGCCCCCCTCTTTCTCGGTTTGACACCTCTTCCACTGCCGCGCCCCTTTAATTATCTTGATTATCTGATTGCGGGCCCTGTTCGAGGGAGGGCAATGCAGGGGACAGCCCATTTTTTCGAACTCGGTGTCTGCTGTTTCCGATCCTGACATGTCCGTTGTGGTGGAGAAGAATGAGAAGAGTGACGAGGAACCCGACGCTTTGGGAAGCTCTTTCCCCCTCGGTTACCTCTTTTTATTGATTTCTCTTAAGCCATTTATTTTTCTTCAGGGATTGAAGGGGAGAGGGGAATCGAGGACGCGTCCTGGTGCGCGAGGTGGAGCATCTTCTCCGGGCCTGTGTTTCCGGGCGATGGAGATAAAGGGGCACGGACTTTAGAGGAGGGGAAAGAGAGTCAGAGATGGGATGATGGCAAGGTGATGGAAGCGAGGAGGGAGGTGGATGACGGCGAAGAGTCGGGAATGGGGAGATAGGAGATGACGTTGTTGATCTTGGGCAAAGTACGTTTTCTTTTTTTCTCTTCTTGTTCTTCTCGCATCCAAGTGTTCTCTCTTCATGTGCGGATGGTGTTGGTGCTGGGCAAGGTCGTTGCGATGGGACGACTGCTCATCTCTCACTCCGGGCAGGAGAGCATATCGTTTTCCTTTTCTATGTTGGGGAGGAAAGGATATCCCTCTCTCGCCTCCAACACCTACCTTGATGGCGTTCCACCTTCATGTCCTTATCCTTCAGTTCTTTGTTCCCTACAGTTTCCCATTCCTTTCCTCTTCGAAGCCTTGGTTGCAAATCGGCGGCCGCGATTCTCACGCACCCGGGGCAAAATCGTGGACAAAGACGTCTTAAAATTTTCAGCCTCACTCTGTTTTTGAAAGGGGGCGTGGACGTGTAAAGGTTTTCTCCCGTTGGGGGCGGAAGCGGAAGCGGGACAGGCGCGGGGATGCACGATCCCGCTGTGCGCACACGTCCGTTCCGTTCCGTGTCCGGGGAAGATGCCGAACCGGTCGGTGAAAATAAGCTTTTGGCGGAAAAAGGAGAAGAAGGAAAGAAGGAAGAAAAAATTGGAAAGGAAAAGAAGCAAAGCAATAGGAGAGCAGGCATGCCTCTCGACAAGACAAAAAATACGGGAAGAAACGAAAAAGCGTGCTAAACACAAGAGGCGTAATGCGCAATGGCAATGGAGAACTGATAAACTAATACCTAGAAGCACAAATCCTCAGACACTCTCGAACACGGGCCCTACCTCTTCCTTTGCAACGGAAGGCGGCGATCTTGGAACGAATCGGGGCATCCAGGCCTCGACACGAATGGAAAGGGGGATATAGCGAAATGGATGGTGTTCAAGCTCCATGCCATCACGGTCTAGAAGAGTGCAGGGAGATCGAGTGCCGGCTCCTGCAGGATCGCAATGGCTCAATTGAACATGACGACCGCGATATCTCGCCAAGAGGCGACCGTGCCCAGAGTGCAGGCTTCGAGGGGGTGTTCTGCCTTGAAAAGGGATGATCTCGTGTTGCCTCTTTCTCCCATATTTTCCCTCCCCCAAGGATCCGCTGTTTGATTGAGGTTGCTAACGTACTCTACATTTAGCGCTTCGAGGTCTTCGAGGACTTTATCGCATCTTGCTCGTTTCCCTCGCCTTTCGCATTCTCCTATCAGGTCCGTTTAGTGAGGGTGCTGGGAGAATTCCGCCCAGAGCTTGGCTGGGGGTGGTGTGCTGCATCTAGCGCATCTTGGCGAACCTTTTCCCCGATCCCTCTCGTATAAAGTCGATCAGCCACGATCCAAGAGATTGATAAGCGAGGGCTCTGACATCCCACGAGTATCCCTTGGGGGAGAAAGGAAGAAGGTGAACGCCCCCTAGTGGGGAGGGTGGGTTTGAGGTAAGAGGCGCTCCGGCGCTCCGCTAAAAACCGCCAGTAAGTTTTTAGGCGAGTCTAAGCGGCGAGAGAGGGTCCCCCTTTCATCACCTGGCCAAGATCTGGGGCGGAAAGCTTGAATCTCTGCTCGGTCGCAAGCTTCATGGGACTAGTGAGTCTTGCTTATGGGTGTGCCAAGTGCCGCGCTCATGAGATGTCGCCAAGGAGGGACCACCCGAGGTGTCAGAATCAGGGCGAGCTATTTGAAGGGAGCGAGAGGGCCGTGGGAGCTTTCTTGCTTTCTTGGCAAGGCTAGGTCGGGACGCGCTTCCATCCGTAAGAGGGGAAGGATCGCATTGCATCGAGCTGAGCCAGCCGGCCCTCTTAAAGACAGCGATCCCGAGTTCATTTTCCCCTCTTCAGGGAGGCGGACTTTTGGGAGAAGGCCATATATGCTTCCAAGGAGATCCGAAGAGACCCATCAGGCGAAAGGCAAAAAATGGATACATCATCCGGGCTTGCCCTAGGGCTAGGCCAGAACACCGAGGGGCCGCGAATTCTTGTTATATCGCCAAAGGGGGCTCTCTATGGCGTCCCCCCGCGCACAAAACATCAAATTGATCAATCCAAGGCTATATCTCTGATTGTGGCGTTTGCTCCTAGGTCAAGGGAGAGTCAGAGTGCTACCTTTTGACACCTTTGTGGGATCGGCAAGGTTACCCGGCCCTTCCCCAAGATTCCCTTCTCCATCCATCTGCACCTTGCTTTTCCTCCCCTCGTGCTCCAGTGTCCATCCGTGGAGGAGTATAAAACCATCCGCCATTGTGGGGTTGAGACATTCTTACACTTGCTCTAAGCCCGCTCGTCAGGTTGGTTCCACACCGCG